TGGGAGGCCAGATACCAATAACAAACACCCTCCTCGTCAGAGAGAAGGCAATCAAGTGGTTTAGTTCAGGAATGTTTGGCGCATGCGATTGACTTTTATGACTCTACAAGGGGGGGGGGGGTTAGAGTGAATCGTCAAATTGGGCTCCACCTGTCTGGCTTCCTTTCCTCCCGCTGTAATGAGCCCCAATTTGTTGAATATGAATGTTCATCCATTCGTATTTTAGAGTACCTAGGGTTTTATATTATCTGAGGACTTTTTTTTTTCAATGAGTAGCCTACCCCGAAATATACACGTAATTTAAAAAATAGGATTAATCAAGAGTTCATACATATCTTAACGGCGCCGCATTTCATTATAACTGAGTGTTTCCTTTTTTTTTCCCCTTTCTTCGAAGATCTGCTTCTATGGTTCGTTCACTGTGAAAAATATAGACTAAAACGCGTGTAAAACTATAATGAATGGAATGAGTGATCGAAATGAGATAATGTTAAGCAGCTAACATGATACTGCGTAATTTAGATTGGACGCCTTTAATAGTAGTAAAATACTTTAGGTATGGGATGCCGTGCATGCCAGCCGACATTTTATCTATAAATAAATATATATATATATATTTATTTTTATATATTTGTATGTAGTTTTTGTCTTTAGTTGTCGTTGAAAGTTAACAACCAGTTGTGTTTGTTGGGGCTGTTGTTAATTTGTAGTGATAGACAGACTATATTTTCCAATTCTGAATGAAGAATTCATATGCCATCCATAAAATCAAAAGAAAAATGGTGCGACGAATAGAGAATCGAAATCAATAGATCATGTTCCTTGGCCATTCTATCCACAATAAAAATTAACCAGGTTTATAATTTTTGTTGGGTGGAAATGAACTTGTAGTTCTGTTTTCAACTAGAGGAAGGGTGAAACCTAAATTTCTAAATTGAAATCTATTTGTGCGTTATTCTTTCCAATATAGATTTTAAGAACCAATAATCTCACCTTTTTTTCAAAATGAAGTGGATGGTATGACGAAGATCGTAGTTGATTTATAACTCAACAATAATAAAGACATTCTTCACTTTTAAAAAAAAATACATATTTGCTGGTGTTAATGCTCTGGAAACTTCACATTGCCTCTTCAATAAGCTAGGACCCCGCCTTGTCGACCTTCCGTTACCCTCCACGGCGTATGTCATTCCCAATACCCTCCCTCAACATACGCAACGGAAACCCACACCGAAGGGGTCCATCGCAACCAAAAAAAAAAACATTTCCCTCTCCCCCTTGGGGTTCTTTCTCTTTGAAATCGCAATTAGAAACGCTTACAAAATAGAAAGCCCGAATACCCTTACGTCGTCCTCTTCAAGCCCGCACGTCCCATGGGGTGTAGTTCGAACGCGCTTTTCGCGCGCACTCGCGGGCTTCTCCTGTCGGCGGCCTCCCGCGGCGGCCCCCTGGCCGCGTGGCGCCCTCCCGACGCGGGCCACTTCGGAA